GGTTTGTGACCTCCAGGGTGAATGCCGGAATGTGGCCAATACGACCCCCCCCCTGTGTCGTGTCGAGGATTCATTCCTTAATGCTTGCTTGACCCTGATGTCGATCTTCACCTATTATCAAAAGGTCTCACAATGGTGATGAGCCGGTTGAACATGCTGGTGATCCTTCTAATTTTCGCTTACGTTGCATATGCGGCTCAACCAACTTCTTTGGATGAAAAGGTCAAAGCGCTCCAAGACTTGCTGTATCGGCAACCAGCGGTGCGATTGAACATGGATCGCTGGAAGACATTTGTGAGACAGCAACCCCGCAACTACAGTATGTTTGTGATGTTCACTGCACTATCGCCAGGAGTGAACTGCCCCATTTGCAAGCCGGCCTATGACGAGTTCATGATTATGGCAAACTCCTGAACTAAAGCAAGTGTACTTTGGAGTTGTTGACTACGAGGAGGCCCCCCAGATTTTCCAAGCGATGAATCTGAACACTGCTCCAATTTTGTACCATTTTGGGCCTAAGCTACAGGGCAAGAAGAAGCCTGACCAGATGGACTTCCAGCGTCACGGGTTTGATGCTGATGCCATGGCACGTTTTGTTGCAGACCAGACCGATGTTCAAATTCGTATCCTTCGCCCACCGAATTACGCAGCACCTGTTGTTATCGTGCTGCTTTTGGCTTTAGTTCTTGGACTACTTTATATGAAGAGAAATAATTTGGAGTTCCTTTACAACCGCACAAGCTGGGGACTTGTATGCTTGTGTATTACATTTGTTTTCCTGTCTGGTCAAATGTGGAACCATATCCGTGGTCCTCCTTTCATTATGAACAATCCACAAACTCGAGAGGCCAGTTTCATTCATGGATCGACGCAGTACCAGCTTGTTGCTGAGACCTACATTGTTGGTGCTCTATACGCCGCCATCACATTTGGTTTCATTCTGCTCAACGAGGCAGCAAGTCCAAGTGTGGAGGTAACCGAGAGGAAGAAATCGTCCAGCTCGAAGCCATTTTTCGGAATCAATAACAATATGCTTGCATACGTTGGTTTGGGCCTTGTCGTGATTTTCTTCTCGCTATTGCTATCCATCTTCCGCAGCAAATATAGAGGATACCCGTACAGCTTCCTGTTCAGTTAAGCAGTCTAGTCTGAAAGAGACGTCGAAGTTCTCCTTTCGTCTGCACTCTGCTGGCGAATGTGAGTAGCTATTGTTAACCTATTTATAAGTATCTGTTTTGCTTGCTCTTATAGGTTTACCTTTCTTTATCGACATATGGGTTATATTGTTTCGTCAAAGGGCGTTTATAAAGCGATGTGATCAATGAAGTTAATTTATAACGCTTTTAGTTAATAATCTTCACGTTGTTCATCCTTCGTAATTTGAGTCTGTCTCTCGGGCGTGCACGAGTGAAGGAGATGCTCATTTCAACCTCCATAGACCCATATCCTCTGGTTTCGTCTGCCACCATCTGCTTCGTTTCCGCTCCATAGATGGCGACTGGTCTCACGACTGAGGTGTAAATTTTAGACTTCAAAATTAAAGTTTTCGGAATCGGAATTTTCCTGTCACAGAGAACGCCAGCAGCAGTCCTCCATTGATTCCATGCAGCGTTTATTCATTTGGTGTTCTTGGGAAGGGTTGCTACTGTGATCGAAGACGTTGTGGCAATTGTGCGTTCTGTTTTGTTGATGTTGAGCCTGAGTCCATGGTTCTCTGGCTGTCTCATCCAGTGGTTGACAGGGTCAACCCCCGTTGCGCAAAGAACAACGAGGGGGTCGTATTCAGCCGACCGAAAAGGGAGGGGGTCGTATCCACAGACGGGCTGCAAGACGGCTTGAAAAGTGCAGTGTCCGGGAGTGCACTTTCAGCCTCTAATGTTCTCCAGGAGCTCTGCACGCTGTCGGAGAGTCACACAGACATGAGCTCCATGGGAGCATTAAAGCATGCAGAGCACTATAAGTCTCACCATCAGCTTATTATCCTTAATCGACGCTATCCGGACGGCGCTTTTGCTCCGCGGCATAGATCAAGAGTACAATAGCCAACTTTGTTACAGTGTAGTGCAAAACGTGGTTTCAAATGCGAGTGCGACTTCTGTCCACAGACAGGTGCACGGCGTATACCCGAGCAGGCGTTTTCCCATAAAAACGCCTTCTCTGTCAGCGGCCGTAAGCAGACAAACTTTCTGAAGAGAGTTTCGATGCTTTCAAATAAAATCTAAGCGAAACAAAGTGTAGCGAATTTGCTGAATTGAGTTCTAGAGACGCCGTAGGAAAATTGAGGCAGAAGAAGGAATTTCAGGGAAATTTCACAGCTGTTATGAAGTACTCTTCGAGTGGATTCCAACAATCTTTACCGCTTCTCATCACATTAATTTGAAAGGAAGTTATGGGCCTTTGAAGACTGCATAGTCGCGGTCCAGGAAAATGGCTTGAAAAAAATCAAGGTGGAACAACGGGACTATTTTTTGAGCGCGTGGTTATTTTAAAAAGTTTTAGACTTATTCGGAAGCTCTAATCCCCTAGTTCCTAATTAGCCTTAGACATCTGAGAAAAGTTGATTATGAAGAAAGTTATTAACGTTTGAATGTCGAAAAACTCGCGCCTTCCCAAAAATCGGACCACAAACCCCCAAAAACGGAACAACGGGACTATTTTTTGAGGGAGTGATCGCTGGAAAAAAGTCAGGTGCTTGTTTGAAAGCTCTAATCTTCTAGTTTCTAATTAGCCTTAGACATTTGCAAAAAGTTGATTATGAAGAAAGTTATGAATGTTTGAATGTCAAAACTCGCGTGTGCACAAAAAACGGAACAACGGGACGATTTTTTGAAATATTGAACATCCACAACATTTCAAATACTCCTCAGGAAGAAAACAATTCATGAGATCGCTTCTGAAAGAAAACATAACCTTTTGAATGGAGGGGTTTGGATTGCAATGTAATTGCTACAAGGTTTAGTTTTTCAGATTATAAGGTAAGGAAAGTTGAGAGATCGAAAAAATCCTGGTGGGTTTCTGAAAGTAGAAATCTTTACGATTAAAATGATGTATTGGTTTACGCAAAAATTTGAAAATTCCTTCTATTTAATGAATAAAACTTCATTTGCCTCGATTCCCTCCTCTGAGCGAGACAAAGCGCGCGGATTGACCACGGTCCACCACTTCTCCATGTTGGTGACTGCACATCATTGATGAGCATTAAATTATGTGAAAGACATGATAGTTAATATGGGGGGTCGTACCGATACCCTCCGAAAAGGAAGGGGGTCGTAAAAATTTTGGAATTTGCGCAACGCAGGGTTGACCCTGGTCGACACGTCTCTCTAATTCCATTTTTGACCGATCCATTAGTGATACACCAACAGCGTACCCGAGCGTCATTGGGGGCGCTTTTCGAATTTTTCCTCTACTCGTCGTCCATACATAGAAAGAAGAGTAAAGGTGGGAGGGCCGATCCTTGATGAACTCCAACTGTGGCTGGGAATTGTGGGGTTTCACCTATAGTGTTCGGATGGCTGTAGCGGAAGCATGAACAACACAGATCAAATATAAGCTCAGAGCTCTGTGATGGGCTGAACCGCGATATCTCCATCGGCATCGGAATTGGTTTCCACTTATGTGGGAGTAAATCTGAGCTGATGCTATCCAAGATAGCATTATGAGAGAATTCCGATCACATTCACTACTATTAACGATTGGATGCACTAACAATGGTACGCCGACTCATCGATTGAATTTTGTGAAAGTCTGCTCCAGAGCACACTTGTCTGGTTGTAGAGTGCCACCAAGATTGCCAGTTCCAGCTAGATTGAATATTGCAGATTATTTATTGCGATCATGATTGGAGCTGAAGAAGTACGCGTAACAAAACAGTTGGAATAGATCGCTAACAGTAGCTCTCCACGAGGTTCGAGATGAGTGTAGAAGGACGTCAGGCGGGCAAGGGTCAATTTCTGTAGGACGCGTTTGAGGAAAATCGACAAATCCGTAATCCAGTTTGGTCGAAAAAATGAACATTTTCATTACCATATTCATGACCCACCCTGTGGTCAACCAAAATACCGGCAGTATTCATTTTGACGGGCTACAGACTACTCCCGCATGGACTACGCAGCCAATCAGGCAATCTGCATGGCTTGCAAGTGTGTGAATATGGGGAAAAGGCAGAGCTGACAAGTTGGCTCCCAAGTCCTTTACAGCGGCTTTCCAATGTGGGTTTTTTCCTCATTGACCCTTCATATTTCTCAACAAGGCTCCATTCATCTTGGCATACCACTAGTAACCAAAATATGTACCCTGCCGGGGGTGTTACTCCAAGAAAATGCCCTCTATCTGAGCTCAGCGTGACGTTCCCTCGTTTTCCAACGCTTCCGAGAACGCATCGAGACTAGGTCATAAACCTCTTGACCACTATTAGAACTGGACGTTAAAAACTGAATATTCCGAAAAACAGTTATAATTCCCAAATGGTGCTCGCCATTTTAACAGTGATTTCATCACCATTTCGCTGAAGGCCACTTTGAGACGTTATACTTTTTTTCAAGCTGAAATTTAACAAAATCAGAATCAACTCTTCGATTATTTCAGAGTGCAAGCCCAATCGCGTTCCTTCATGGTGCAGCATTCATTATGTACAGCTTTGCCTTCCTCGGTCTGCAAGCATCTGTTACTTTCGCACACATCTTCACGATTACACCCTCATTCTTCCCTTTGCTGTTTCCCATTTTAACAATCGCATTTATAAAGGAATACCGCAACCGAATTCTTTCACTGCTGCGGCTTTTTAAGAAATCACATCGAGCCACAGCGGTAGTTGCGTTGTACTGAAGCTTTTGAGTGTTGATATCCATCAGAAAAGTTGACCTGATCGAATTAACCCCTGTCAGAAGGGCATTACAACTCAAGGTGACACTCTACACATTTTCTTCTTGTTTTGTTGTTCTGGCGATTGCATATGAGCTCCCCAGCCCTGTTTCGACTCCAACACTGAACGAAATAAACACTCATCTTCCTATGTTTGTGTTGCAGGCCATCACATCCTAAAAGAGTCACATTCATTGGTGAACATAGGACAATCTGTAAAAGACTTGCGTTGGAGAGCCGATCATCATTGCTACATGAAGTCACCAAACACAACATCTCATACTATGTACAGACGATTGCTGAAAAAAGCCCACTATTGTTTGTGAGATAACGTTAGGACTTCAGATGCCACGAGCGGGCCTCTTCAATTTGAGGCAAACCGAAGGCAAGTAATCATGGAACCTTTTCTATTTGACAGTAGGACAAGTAGAACACCGATACCGATTCCGAGCCATGTTTAGATGCAAGTAATTGCTTCCCTTCATCGTCTACTCTTCCAGTAGAAAAATTCCGACTACTCCAAGCTCAGTTAGATGTAGATTACGATGAGC